TGCGATTGGCACAGGACAGAGCGGAGTTTAGGGCTGTTGTACATAGGGTCGCTATGAGTCGCAAACGACTCGACGGCACATAACAACAACAACATATATATGTATATCCAGTAGAGATATAGTTTATATCTATATCTCCAGTAGATGTATTTTATATATATAATCCAGTAGATATCTGTTCTGCATACAGGTTGAAAAGGTACGGAGACAGGACACATCCCTCGTGTACGCCTTTCCCAATTTTGAACCATGCTGTGTTTCCTTGCTCTGTTTTGACGACTGCCTCTTTGTCCAAGTATAAATTTCGCATTAGCACAATCAAGTGTTCTGGGATTCCCATTCTTCGCAGAGTCAGCCACAGTTTGTTTTAATCCACACAGTCAAATGCCTTTGCATAGTGAATGAAACACAGATATGCATTCCTCTGGTATTCCCTGCTTTCAGCTAAGGTCCATCTAACACTATTATCCAGGAGGCTGGGCTCTATGAGGAGAAATGTGGGATCAAGATTGGTGGAAGATCTATCAATAATCTGCAATATGCAGATGACAGAACTCTGCTTGCTGAAACTGAAGAGGACCTGAAGCGCTTGCTGCAGAGGGTCGAGGACTGCAGCCTCCAATTTGAATTGAGGGTCAATGTCAAGAAGACAAAGATTCTCACCACTGGACCAATTGGCAGCATCAGGATGGATGGTGAAGATATTGAGATTGTTCACAGCTTTAGTTTGCTTGGCTCCACAGTCAACACTCTTGGCACCAGTAACCAGGAAATTAAAAGACGTATTGCCATGGGAAAGTCTGCTGTTAGGGACCTCTCCAAAGTACTGAAGAGCAATGGTGTCTCTCTGGAGACTGAGGTGCTTCTGATACAGGCCATGGTAAGGAGGGTAGAAGGAGAAGTGATGACTTTGACCTTTGGTGCTTGAGAAGAACATTGAGGGTACCATGGACTACTAGGAAAACAAACAGATTCATCCTTGGAGGTAAGGATTCTGAGGCTCTGTCTAACATACTTTGGACATGTTGTAAGGAGGGACCGGTCCTTGGAGAGGGACATCATGTTTGGGAGGGTGGAGGGACAGCGCAGGAGGGGAAGGCCCTCTATGAGGTGGATTGATTCAGTGACTGGGGTAACTGGGATGGGTGTATCGGAGATGGTGCGATTGGCACAGGACAGAGCAGAGTTTAGGGCTGTTCTACACAGGGTCGCTATCTCTCCAATATCTATCTATCTATATATATATCTCCAGCATATCTATCTATCTATCTATCTATCTATCTATCTATCTATCTATCTATCTATCTATCTATCTATCTATCTATCCAGTATATATCTCTCTCCAGTATTCCAGTATATATATCTCCAGCAATGAAATCTGGCGCCAGAAGCCGATGAGACCATGACCGAAAGAACATGTGGGAATCCCAAAGGCACACGGTTCGAATTCATCAGATGCTTGGCTGGAGGGGGACTATCTCCTCCTATGCCAGTCAGATCCGATTTGACGGTAAACAACAAGAAAAAAAAAGAAAGAAAATGTAGGTCCAAACATGGGGATTTGTGGGCGGATTTGCTGATTTGTCTCGGCTAGTGATAAACTAAGAACTTTTAAAAACAGAATAGCAATGACATAGAGACAGATATACAAACAAACATAAAATGTGATTGACTAAGCACAGGGCCAAGAGATAGATCTAAGTATGCAGCAAGTTTACCTATCAACTTTACAGTACTTAAATCGCGTTGGAAAAGAGGAGCATAAGCCTCGGAATAACTGGCTACTTATCCGTTAGAACTTAACTCATATATAGACAGATAGAGTTCAGCTTTATGAAAGAGTTCATTTTTTTTTTAATAAAACGATAAGTTTTAATTGAGGGAAAGAAAGATTCAGAAAGCAAAAAACGAGACCTCACGGACACTAATGAGCGGAAACGGAAATGCGTAGGCGAAGAAACCCTCTCCATTGGGTTCCCGTGGTCTACGTCATGGAAAAATCTGACCAATGCAATTTGGGAACAGGCGGTGCGCTCAGCCAATGGGGCTTGGGCGGGAGATTTGAAAGGACCCAGAAGCAAGAGCGCAGCGGCTCTAGTTCTGTCGTTTTCAGGAGGCCGGAAGGATTGTGTGCGTAGAGAAGGCAGGTGATCATCCTAGTAGGGGTCCATTTCGTCGAGCTACTGATTGCATGCAGGTGGAGAGAGGGTCCTGGAGGGGAATCGGACTCATAGCTGGGCGGGATAAGGAACGCCCGGGTGCCCACTACTTTGGCCAGCGTGCTGACCCTCACCTTTCCACCAGTTCGCGGCTGGTACTTCCGGACAGATAGGTTAGACCCTCCTCCCTCCCTCCATTTTCTTCTTATCGCTTTATTTCCCTTCTCCTGCCCAGCTCCTCGCCCTTTTCCCCCCTCTAGGGATGGCTCAGAAGGAGAACGCCTACCCCTGGCCCTATGGCCGGCAGCCGGTAAGGCCCTTTCCTCTCCCTCTTCCCCCTTGTCCTCTTGGCAGATTCCTCCCTGGAGATTATATAAAGCACCCTGTCCTAGCTACGAGGTTCTGCAGAGGCTAAACCTTCTAGCAACTTTTTCCCTATTATGCTCCAACATATGAGCCCAAAGTGGATTCTAGCAGAATCCAGGGCTTGTCAAGTGCTTTGGCTTTGAATCTGGTCTTACTAAAACTATTTAACACATTCAAATAATATATGCAACAGATAGCGGAACAGAGTCAGCACCTGTCCTTCAGCCATGATTTCTTATCCTTGACTTGGGGGTGTGAGAGTAGGGAATAGATTAGACAGAAAATAGAAATAGATTGTAAAAGAATTTAGATTAAATGCCTGTTTAAAAGCTCATGGATAAGTGTAAATTAATAATTTGGAATTTAATAGTGTGTGGTGAGAATTAATGGATCCCCCCCGCCTGTTGTCCCAACATCTTTCATTGAAAAGAATCTGCCTTCTGATTTGAAATGCCACCACTATTAAGAAAGCATGAACTCCTAGTCATCACTCTCATGAGCTATAAAAGGATCTCTACCTTGCTAATTCCCCACATATATGTGTGTCTGTTTTTGCTTTTGAGTATCAAGTTTTCAAAGGCACTGGGGTTTTCTTTCTGTGCTGAAGAAACCTTGTGCTGGCTTACTTCCTTTTACAGTGGCCTTAGACACCCTGAAGGGTTCCCCTGTCCTTTGCCCACCAGCATCCTCCCCCAGGGGACACTTAATGATGTCAAGAGTGGAGACTGAGTGAGAAACCACAGTGACCTCTGCTCACTCCCAAAAACTGCCTGAGAGTTTTAAAATGAGAAGTGGTCCCACAGTGTTGGAAAAACCTATTGTTGCAAAGCAACATTCAAGGATTCTAAGGCCTTCTCTAAACCTTGGAGATTGAATTTTTAGCAAACTGTGAGAATATGTCTGTGCTAAAACTTCTTAGATTGTGGCTGTTCATTGACCCAGTCCACTACCGCATCTGAGGGTGAGGGGCTTGAGTGACTGATACTGGTATTTTTGTTAGCATCCATGTCTGAGAATGCACTGTGTGCTGGGGCCAAAGAAGTGAAATGTCTGTTGTGGGGGTAAGTCCTCTGCTCCCTAGCTAAAGCCAGCTTATGATAACACATCTTAATTTGGTATGCTCGACATGGAGTGAGGTGACAGAATTGTGGTGTCAATGTTCCTTTTGTTCTGGGGGGAGAAGGTGGGTGCATCGCTTCATAGCAAGTATCTGGAATGCTGTGTGCAGCACATTCCAGCCGAGTTACTAAGACAAAGACGCCTCAGAACTACCCCCCGCTCTTCCTCAGGCTCAATCTGGCCTAAACTCTGGGACCCAGAGAGTCTTCCGGAAGGCAGCTGTCACCCCGTCTGCCCTTGTCCTCATGAGCCGTTCCAAGACCGTCTTAGAGCCTTCCAATGCCCAGCCTACAGGTATCATGGACAGGGGAGAAAGGATTGACCTGATGGGACAAGAGCCTATGGGGAGGGTACAGGGATGAGGTGGTTAAATGAGGGTCTCAATTTACTTGTTCTCTCCTAAGCTGCCCCAGGCCAGAAGAAAATGACTGAGAACAGAAATGGAACACCCAGATTAATGTATGCACCCCAATCCTTGGAAGCTAGGAAGTGGGACAGAGAACAGGCAGAAAATGGGGCTGTAAAGCCCAGGGACTGGTGGAAAAGAGTGGAGCAGGGGAAACTTGATCCATCTTCCATTCACTTCACAGAGTAAAGAATTGAGAGCTGGGTGGGGCAAGTGAGTGGAAAGAAGGCAAACCCTTTAAATGATAAACTCCCCATACTGAGTGGCCTTTCCCCCACTGTTGCATCAGGCGGTCCTTCACAATCAACGACTTTGAGATAGGACGTCCTCTGGGCAAAGGCAAGTTTGGAAATGTGTACTTGGCTCGAGAGAAGAAAAGCCAGTTTATCGTGGCACTCAAGGTCCTCTTCAAGTCTCAGATTGAGAAGGAGGGCGTGGAGCACCAGCTGCGGCGGGAGATCGAAATCCAGGCCCATCTTCAGTAGGCAACAAGCAAAGCCCTGCTCCTCCTATCCCAGCCTCTTCCCACCTCCCGGCACCTTCCTAAGTTAGCGCCCAACTGGGCCAAGCCCTTGAATCCCCCGTCTCCACCTCAGTTCCGCTTAGCACTCCCAGCCCTGGTGTCCCTACCTCCGTCCTCTTTGCCCCATACTGAGACCGGCCATTTTCCTCAGCTTCTCTGTGCTTCCTGCAGGCATCCCAACATCCTACGGCTCTACAACTATTTCTACGACCAGCGGAGGGTCTATTTGATTCTGGAGTATGCGCCCCGAGGGGAGCTCTACAAGGAACTGCAGAAGTGCCGCACTTTTGATGAGCAGCGGACAGCCACGGTCTGGGCTGGTGGGCACCCAGGGCGCCCGAGGCAGAGACCAGGGGTGCATGCTTGGGGCTGGGAAGTCTGATAGTGGTTAACTGTCTGTCCTCGGCCCTTCCAGATCATGGAGGAGCTGGCTGATGCTTTGATGTACTGCCACTCGAAGAAGGTGATCCATAGAGACATAAAGCCAGAGAACCTGCTCCTGGGCCTCCGAGGAGAGCTAAAGATCGCTGACTTTGGCTGGTCTGTGCACGCCCCCTCCCTGAGGTATGTTGGGCAGCAAGGTTGGCACTGGATATGGAGCTAAGAAGTTAAAAATAGAATCTCTCAGGAGCTCCTGTTAGGGACTTCTGGTGACCTACAGGTTAAGAAGCTGTACTGTCAACCCAAAAGCAAACTATTTGAATCTACCAGTTGCTGTATGGGGGAAAGATGGGCAATCTCCCAGTTTTCAGCCTCTAAAAACGCACTGGAGGGTCTGCTATGAGTCAGTTCTGATTCTAAGGCAATGAATTTTTCTTTGGTTTTTAAAAAAATCTTGTTACCAAATATATTTGGGTTTGCCTTCATGCAATATACCAGTGGTGGCTGGCGACCTCAGGTGTCTGCACAGAACTGGGCACCAGGGGTTATCAATGGACAGTTTTTCCCAAGCAGATTGCAAAGTTTTTAGTCCAAGGTACCTTGAGTAGGCCTTTCCATTAGCATTATCATTTCTGCCCAGTAACTCCTCATGCAAATACAGACGTATAAGACATGTAAATACAAAGATAGGATGTTCGCAGCTTTGTTGCCAAGTTTTTTGCTTGGTGTATTGGCATTGTCTTCCACAGCAACTTTTTTTTTTTTTTTAGTTTTAATGAACATTTACAGAGATTTTGGGTTTTCATTC